ATCACAACTCATAAAATAAATTTTTAACATACACATAATGATACCAAATTAGATTAAATATAGATAGATTAAAGTGCTCAGAATTCACAACACAAGAAACAAAATGTTCGTACAATACATAAATGAAAAAAAAAACATAAAGTCAGCCCCTATGCGTGGGGATCGTCATCAAACAAAGAAAAAACATAATCTTCATCCTCATCATCATCCCACTGCTCCTCCTCGACCAGACACATGTGTCACTTGCTTTGGCGATCTAAACTAGGCTATCTGCAACTTGTCTGAACTCTTCATTCATCATCGTCACATGCTGAGCTTGGAGTACACTAGGGACACCCACAACTGCTCAGAAATGCTCGATCTCAAACTTCATCCCCTTTGCTTCGAGGTTGTACACTCTCCTCTTCTTATTTCTCACTGCCTGCGTCCACAATTCAAAATCTGACTACATAGTGGTAGATTGGCTACCACTGCTGATGGATGGTGACGTCTGGTTGGCCATATCCCTTTGTTTATCCCGGAGTTGCTTGCACTCCTCCAGTATAACAAAATTCAAATGTTATTTGACATTTTAAACATTAATTGACATATTAATAGAATTAAATTTTTTATACTTATATTAACACGACAAGAGTGGTCAGATACCCACTGGCTATGTGTCTGTGCACTAATGTGTAAGGATGTGCAACTTTATTGTAGATAACTCTCTGTCAAACTCCTTGGCTTGTATGCATGATCATATAAATACATAAGTCACAAAATTATATAAATTTGTAAGCTTTTGAATTTTAACATATTCTTACCAGCCTCTGATGGTGCTTCATGTGAGGAATCAAACCTCCAATGTGGAGTATGACTCCTCTGGCTCCCTCCATCGTCCGATTTTATTGGTTTGTCAGTCTCTTTCTCTAGTACCCCGAAGAGGCCTATGCTCGGTTTAACTCAACCCATACTTCCTCCTAAACCCACGAGGGCCTCTGCCCCTCTTTACGTGCTATCTTGAACATATCCCCAAACTTATTCTAGCATGAACCTCAAAAATTTATCAGATTTGTTGGTGATATTTTGACAACCAGTGAAACGATTGTAAATTAGAAAGTATGCAAGCTTGATTAGCATATAAAAGAAGATAGAAATTAACTTTATATTTCAAATTTAAATATCATATCCTAAACTTCGTAAAATACATATCCTGAGTGACAATCAGAATCAACTTTCATGAGAAATATGGTTGATCATATCAGCTCTGAATGATCTCTTTGATTCGTGCCACAGGCAACCTAGAGGGGTAGAACCTGTAAATGATCCATTAGGTACATTATAAAATTGAATGAAAAATTGAAATTACTATACTGTAAAAAAGAAAGTCGACTTACGAGACACCTTCCGACTCAATATAGGCTTTGTCGACGATGTCTAACCATCTCAGATGCTGAAGTCGAGGGACCTGGCTCATCAGATGCGGATGATGGGCGAAAATAAGGTGGAGTGGGAGGCGGTGCTTGCGAGAGACCTGAAGTAAGTGGAGGGGCAACATGAGAGGTCACCAGAGTGCCTGTATAATTTTCGTATCTGTCAGCGGTAACGACAACCTTCTTCAGCATTTGATAGGTGTTCCATAAAGTTCTTTGAACGCGGGGTCTCTTGGGAGGCTGAGAACCTGCTATCTATAACCGTTAAAAAAAATACGAATCATAAGCATGATTAATATGTATTATAAGATAAAAAAGTAAAAGCAGAACAGTGAAACAAGTCATGTATACTCATAAAATCAAGAAAATTAAGAAAGACAAGTACAGTGTAAGAAGCAAAAGTAAAAACAAAAAAGTTCAGAAATTAATCTTCTAAGTGGACATATCATTATTTAATCTATTTCATTTGATGATCCAGATGTTAAGGAATTTAAAATTTCTTCGTCAATCTCATCATCATTTTCACCAATATCTAGATGGACTACTTCATGAATCTCTGTGACTTCCTCTTGAGGTAACTTTTCATTGATTGAGCTAAGCTGAATATGGAATTTAAACATAACTAACTCTTGGTGAATATGTTTGATAACATTTTGCATCTCAATAATTTATGGTGGTATATTCTTCAATACAACAACCCAATCAATTTTATATCTTGCTCATTCACGATATCAAACATAATAAACCTGACTAGCCTGACTTGTCAGAATAAATATGTCATATTTTACATAACTTCTATTCATTTTAACATCGGTAATATCATACAGCTCGAGTGTCCGATTTTCTTAATTAAGAATGGGATTAAACTACTCACATTTGAATATGTAGACATTACATTCAACATAGCCCAGATACTGCAACTGAACTACTTTATTTAGTATGTTGTAATATGTGATCTGGTTATATGTGTGTGTGTTTCTTCTAACACAAACACCATAGTTATAAGTTTGTTTTCCTTCATTCCATGAGCTTGTGTGAAATTTTTAACCGTTAAGTTCAAATATTTGACCTAACTTCACACTACGATTAGGCCTCCAAGTAAGATCTAATAAGCTTTGGTTTGTGATTCTGTTGCTTCTATCATGGACCTAGTAGACGTTCCATACCATAATTAGTTTAACTTTGTATTGTATAACTACACAATATGCCGGTGAATTTAAAAGTTACTTCAATGAATGTGTAATTTGAATAATTTTGAAAATTCTTCTTTGATTTTCTTTCTTACAAGAGAGTGATCTTTTGCGTTCAAGCTCTCCATAAACAACATGCATATAACATTATGACTTGTATTTCTAAATTAATTGGTAAAGCATTCAGTAAAAATATTTAATTATATTTAATCTTACTGTAGGAATTGTTGTGCTTCATCGCAGTTTAATAGAACATACATAGTAGCTGCATGAAGCTCTTTGTCATTTAGGTAGCACATACCATGCCTACCTAATGATTCACCAGATATCTGAAATACTGATAATTCTGCTCGCAAAGGCATCTGACCAACAGTTTCATGCGTGTGCTACCATTGATCGAAGTAATATAAATAGAAAGTATTTTAATTACGGCATCAAATGTAATCAACTACAATGGTGTAATGAATTGCAAGCTTACGGTCCTCCTCTTTATCATCATCTTCTTCTTTCTCTTCTTTCTGTTGTCGGCAAATTCTTCCCGTCGTCTGCTATGTTCAACAAACCTAAGTTGATAAAAAATCAGATTCATTTCACATACGACAAACATGGCCTAGGAAGTGTTGGCTAAGGCTTGGGTGAGTTTGAAGATAAGTAGAAGAGTACTTTTGTTATTAGAGTTAAGTAAAGGATATGTGACATTGATTTTAACCACTAAAAGGTGATCATAGAAGCCTAAACACCTATGATCATTTTATAGTACCACTACAAAATGTAATGATTTAAACCATAATAAACTATCAATGAACAAAAAATGGTATGTTGCTAATTTGACAATGATTCTAAATTATGTAAATTATGGTGCCAAATACGAGTGCAAATTCATGATTTTAGTATCATGTTGAACTCTTAAGCAATAAAAAAAATTATCCTCATATTGGTATAAGATTATATTTATTATGTTGTGTTTTCTTCACGGCTAGAACTTATGCTATTAAAAAAATCATTTGATCAGGCACAAATCTTAATAGATTTTGGAAAAAAATAATTTTGAGTCAAATTCAAAATTATCCGATCTTCATATTTTAAAAACTTTATAGGCAAATATAACGTTTCAACAATATAAACTCACCAAAAGTGATTCAAGTCAAGCAAGCAAAAAACAAACACTTAAATTATAATTGAAATTTTAGAAGCATTAACTGAAATATTAGACGATCTTCTAATTTGATATACTTGTAAACAAATCTAGTGGCACAAAAGGAGGAATAAGTGGGCCTATGATTACTCAATTCATAGACCATTAAAACACTTAAATATTTAAGAATAATCTATAATCAAAGAGTTTTATATTGACCTTCTTATCAATCATTTTGTTTATCAAAACATCACTCTAAAAAATTAGAAATAAATTGTCAAGTATTACAAGGAAATCTGAGGTTTGAGAGTTAAACATAAACTCGTGAGAAGAGTTATAAGCTATCCTATATTAATAATAGTTGACTAACACCAGAGCGGCTGATATAACCTAACTACAACAATTTCACCCCAATTATTGTTATACAAGCATTGTTGCTTGATTAGCATTTTTAGGCTATTATTATTTAATTATTATCACTTAGTTAATATTATCATATGTTAACCCTTACCATAACTACAAAAATATAAATATTTGTCATTTTGTAATCATGTCATTCTAGTTGTGGAGAAAAGTGATTTTATGAATTTATAGTGGATTATTTTGACCGAATGAGATTCTTTTTTTTTCTTTTATAAAATTTTAACATAAAAAATTTATTTTCTTTTATCACATTGATCTTGTATATGTTGCACATTCCTGTTGAGTTGTGCCTTAATTTGTTTTGGCATTCATGTGTGGTTGGGCATTTTAACTTATTATTTTGCGATCAACGATACTATATTTTCACTTTTTATTTTGATATTTATTTCTATTTATTTATTAATTTTTTATGAGCGATGATGATATCCAACAAATCTATTGGGACTCAAATCAATTTTCAAAGCTGACATCAATAATCTTCTTTATGTGAAGAAAATATCATGTCTCCTAAATTGGGTTTGCGGACGACAGACGTAATATTTTCTCCTTTCACTGAAACATGATAACGTAATGCACAGAAAGAGATTAATTTAACCCCACATTAACTAAATAAATTGCACTAAAATTCTACATAACTTGTCATTATTAAAAAAAGAAAAAAAAAATTTCTCAAGATAATAAACCGTTTCATTAACGATGACACCAATCATGCCATCATTACATAAATGGGGGCCATCTCATGCTTTTCTCGCCCCCCTCTAATTCCTCACTCTTTTAATCCCTCCCTCTCTCGTCATCCTGCTTATTCACTTCTTCAGGCTTATTCCCCAGAGGTTCAGCCCTGCAATACATCAATATGACATCCTTTTTCCTTTTACTTCCCTTTCATTAATTACTATTACTCCGTTATCTAGTAATTAGTAATTAATAACGAATGGTATTAATTAAATTAACAACTAATTAGCGTTTATGTGCGTTAATTATAGTGCAAAGAAGCAATTAGAGATGGGCATTAGGCCCCCATGCTGCGATAAACTGAACGTGAAGAAGGGACTCTGGACACCCGAAGAAGACGCCAAGCTGCTCGCATACGTCTCCACGCACGGAACTGGTAACTGGACCAACGTTCCAAAGAAAGCAGGTTTGTCACTTTTACATACATACCCCAACATTTTTATGTTTTTATATATATTTAATACAGAAAGTTTGATGTTTATGCTTATAACCCTTACAGCCAAAAACTTATAAAATTATACATGAAAAGTAAATATGAATGTTTATGGGTTAGATATAAAAATATAAGAGAATTATGTATTGTATATATATATAGTAAATTCTATGGTTGTGTGTTAGGGTTGAAGAGGTGCGGGAAGAGCTGTAGACTAAGGTGGACTAATTATCTGCGGCCAAACTTAAAGCATGAGGGGTTTACTCCACAGGAGGAGGAGTTAATTGTCGCTCTCCATGCGACCATAGGAAGCAGGTAGTTATTTTTCCCAGCTGATTTTATTTTATTTAATTTATTTGCTGTATAATATGTTTATACTATCTTAGTCATATTTGTAAAATTAAACTTTAGAGGTATATTTTAGCAAATATTAAAGGGGTTTTGTGAAAAAATAATAATGTTTTGATTCAAATTATCAATGAAAATAGATGAAAGAAAAGCAAGCACTAAGAATATCTTAAAAATTTTTATATAGTTCCCATTTTTTCTTATTGTTTGGGAAATTTATCGTATATACCCCTTGAATAACTCTTATGTATTTACATATCTAACACATAAAAGTTTGATATTTACAATTATAACACTTTATGTTATGAACAAAGTTAAATTTTATTTGTTAAAGATTAGTAATAGCGAGTTCTTATGTCATATTATCAATTTGAGGGTTATGCAAGTAAATGCATAAGGTTTGTACCGTGTTATGTATGAAAATGCGCATTGTTCTCTATCTTGATTAAACTTTATAAGAAAATTTTGTAGAATTATGTACTTACTCGTGATATAGTGTTTGAGAGTATAGTTGCTTAAAATTCAAATCACATTTATATAATGTCTTTTGGATTTAGTCTTTACTGAAAAAAATACATTATATTTTTCTCTTTGCATAATTTATAATTTTTCATCACTAAATAATAATAATCACGATCACTTTTTTAAATGAAAAACTAACTCGGCTGTGAAAAAATATTGAGTCGGGAGTCCGAGCGTAAGCTCCTTCAGGATGACACGCGATACACCGGGGAATTTTTTCCCTCCATGTCACTTCGTTCGGTGTATCGTGTCAGTTGTCCAGATATAGTCTTGCTTCCGGACTCCAACTTAATATTATTTTTCCTCGGCTGCAAAAATATTCATTGCTAATAAATTTATACGATTTACATTAATAGTTAAGCGCTTAATTCTCGCCTAAAACTTATTTTATTATCATAAAATCAATCTTAGCCTGCTTTGATAGCAGGTTGTAATAATTGAAAGCTAACATACACATACCTTAGAAAAATATAATTTTTTTATTTTAATTTAATTTTATGGAGCCAGAGGGATCGGTATAGGTTCATATTTCATGATGAGAATCATTAGAGCAGATAAATTTCGTGACCCCTTCATAAATAACTAACTTAATCTTTCATGACGTCAGCCTTTCACTGTGTGCAAGCATGCGCACGTGTCACGGCGTGCCATCCTAATATATGCTAACACGTGCACATGCACGAGCAAGCCAAAAAATAATGCTGGGGTAAAAAATAGAAAGCCTTAATGATGGGGTGTAAGCGACTCGAGCTTATTCATGTGCCCGTTTGAGCTCAGTTTAATAAGTAGTTCGTTAATTGAGGCTCAATGAGCTAATAAATCAAGCTCAAGCTAGCTCCAACTCGACCCGTTAACACATGGGTCGGCTCATTTAAAAAAAATATTAATATAAAATACACTAAAAATGTATTAAATTCAAAAAATTAATTTTAAAGCATTAAAAATAAAAAAAAAATACAATTTTGTATTTTATATTAAATATATTTTTTTATTTTTCTATTATTTGTTCATTCTATTTATCATTTTATTATAATACTAACCTAAATCACTATTATTTTCTCTCTTTTATAACAAACAAGTCCGCTAGAACTCATAGAATTAAGCTTGAGCCCTTGTTCGAACTCAATAAAATTAATCAAGCTCAAGCTCAAAGTAGAGAAAGACTTGAGCTCGACCCAACTCATTTACACCCATAGCCTCAATAAATGGAAGCTTTCTATTTATCTTATATGTAAAATATATATTTATTTATATTAAAAATATTTTATAAATATTGCACAGGTGGTCTATGATAGCGAACCAGCTCCCCGGTCGAACCGACAACGATGTGAAGAACCACTGGAACACGAAGCTGAGCAAAAATCTGGCCCTCAACGGCATCGATCCCGTCACCCACCGCCCCATATCCGAGATCAAACACAGCATAACTACTCTCCACATCGCCGGAAGCACCGCCGCCCAACCGCATTCCTCCGCCGCCACCACCGTCGGCGTCCGCCACCACGACTCCCCCCTCATCTCCCTCAACCGCGACCTCAAAAAAATCCTCCTTTCACCTCCCATCCCTCCGCCACTCAAACTCACAGCTTCGCTAGTGCACTGGAACATTGCCGATCAAACCACCGCCTCCGCCGCATGTGATATTCCGCCACCTCCGCATGAACTCGAATGGGTTCAGTTTCTGGCGGAGGATGTTTTCTCGTGCCTCGAGGAACTTGATGCTTATCCTGCTCCGTCACTAGTTGCCGTTGATGCTGGTTTCGACGGCGGGGAGGAAGTGGCCGATGGGGATGCATTTATCGATGAAATTCTCGATCGAGATCGGGAGATTATGTCGGAGTGCTTCGGTTTAGTCGACGGTCATTCTTCTCTTTATTAAGCTGTTTTGACGAAAAAAATATTACTTAGTACTCTAATGAGGATGTGCCACATATGCAATGATCTCACCATAATGCCACGTGACACTTCCCTCATTGGAGTACTGATGCATCAGTACTCCTGAGTTAATATTTTTTCGTTTTGACGAGGAAATAATACTAGGTTCGGAAATCCACACATTCAGTTGTCACAACATCCGGATAGCTAATCATCGATCATTGTATCGTCTAATGATAAGGTGCAAGGTGACGTGATGGTCAGTGATTGGACATTATATAAGCAAAAAGGAATATTTTATTTTGTTATATTTGTGAACTTGAAATAATTTATGTGCTGTTTGATTGAAGAGCATTATTAGAGTTTATTTGGTGAATAATGTTGGTATGATTAGTTTTAAGATTTTTAGGGGTGAAAATTGAAGTCATAATATGAGATCTTAATTTGCTCAGAGTTAAATTCATATTCATATTTTAAAATTATTTAGCTATAAATTTTATTCTATCTCACAATAAAACTAAAATATAGCAAGATTTACGTAAAAACCACTCAATTTTTATGTATTTGCATATCAAACTCCTAAATTTTGATATTTGCCCACATGTCACTTTATAAATGAATGAAAAATATATTTCACTGTTTAAAAATTAAAATAATGATATTTTTGTAATAATATGAAAGACGATAGTATAAATGTAAGAAAAAGTAAAGTTTAGGTGTTGGATATGTATATATACATAAGAATTAGGTGATATGTATTAAAATTCATGGTGTTCTGATCTGAACTTTATTTACTTTGGAGATATAATATTTATCCTATTGGGATTTAATTATAGTATTTAGATATATCTTTTTTACTTAGTAGATAACATCAAAATATTATAAATATAAATATTAAATTTCAGGTGTTAGACATAAAAATACAAAAGATTTATGTGATGCGTAAGTAAAATTCCCTAATACGAATCTGATGGTTCAATGAACCGCAAAGGCTTCATATGTTCATTGATCGGGCTGTTGATTTTTTTTAAATCTGCCCAATTCTTAGCGAAAATGATTTGAACCGTCCGGTTCACGATTCAACAGATTGAATTGAAAATTTAATTTCATTTTTTAAGGATCTGTTTGGAGCAGCTGCAGCTTATTGAATAATCTAGGTGCAGTTATTATTATAAATTTTTATTTTTTTTTAAAAAAACAGACCGCTGTCAGTAAGCTACCACCGCACCTATATACATGCGGTGTGAAAGTGTTATTTTCAGCATTTTCAACTAAAATGTTGTTTACTCAAACAAGTTAGGTGCGTTTTAAAAAAAATTAAGCTCAAACAACAAGGCTCTCCCGTTCATCGTACGTAGTCGAATTTTGAACCTTCTATCAATTCCCAAACAACCTAACAAGCACGATTTTGACAATATTTTCAATTTTTTTTAGAAGTAGTAGACAAAAATGTGTAGATATGTTGATATTAAAATTTGTAGAATTATGTGGTATATATGTAAATTTTCCAAAACGTTTTTCTTCATTTTGGCGGCTTCTGTATCTCATTACCTTCTCTCTCACTGTCCGAAACCTAAGCTCGAGCTCTGAGCTTCGATTCAGGGTATCAAACAAGAGGGAGTCCCGCTATTAGAAGCCCTACCTCTCACACTATCCTCTGCAATTCCAATTTCTCCGATGGATTTTGGTCGGCTCGTCCTCATCCTCTTCCTTTCTGCAACCCTCTTCTTCAAGACTACCCCGGTCGTCGCCGGCGATGATACGAAGGTCTCTCTGGCTCTCTATTACGAGTCCCTTTGTCCTTACAGCGCCAATTTCATTGTTAATTACCTTGCGAAGATATTCGAGAATGGGATAATCGATATCGTCGACCTCGATCTCGTCCCCTACGGGAACGCGAGGCTCAAGGCCAATGGCACCATCACCTGCCAGGTTTGCCTTTGGCTTTTGTATAATTGTCTTCTTTTAAGTAGTAATTTTATATTTTGATGACGAAACGCGTAGATTATGCGTGGTAATTGGAAATATTATTATTTTTTTTCATTTTTATGTTCTTTGTGGAAGGATTTTGAAGAGAGAGTATAGATGCAGGGGATTGACCTGTAGGATTTATTTGGTTCGCTTATATTCATGATTAACAGGATGGTTTTATGGGTAAGTTTGGATGGGATTTATAAGTGAATAAAGCTCTGCCTACTGTGTCTGCGCAGTTCTTGCCATTAGGAAAGAAGAAGTAAGATCTCCGCCGTAATGAAGGGGGAAGAGCTCCTAATTTTCTTGCGTAAATTCATGGTTAACAAGCTATGGAAGAGCTTGTTCTATGTGTTCACCAATCGACGATGAAATCATGGTGGAGCACAAAAGCAAGTCTCTTCAGCTCTTCCACAAACCGACGATGAAATCTTGGTGGAGCACAAAAGCAAGTCGGCAGTTAGGAAGATGGAAAGGTGAGATGTAGGATTGAAGCACTTCATAGAGGAAAGATGATATCATGGACATCATGACATGGAAATAACCGATAGTGTGGTGACGTGGTTAATGGAGGAGCCGTCAGATGACTTACATGCGTTGGTGGTGTTGTTAATTGTGAATTATTTATGCCATCAAACGAAGCTCTTATTTATGGGATTAATAAATTTAATATTTTGTATTGAGAAAATGAATGAATGCTCCATCAGTACATCTCCTAGTAAATTAACACTTAAAAATTTGGTTATTCTTCTGTATATAATGCATGGCAAAATTTGGGAAAGGGCTATTTTTTAAAAAAGGTAGATTTACTTTAATACCACTCAATTCTAATGTCTTTTTATATCTAACTCCCAAACTTCAATATTTACATACATGCCACCTTATATATGCGTGGAATGGTGTATTTCACTTTTTTAAAAAGTTAAGATAGTGGTATTTTCATGTGATATAAAAGATTTTAGTGGTATAAATTTGTTAGATATGTAAATACATAGAAATTGAGTGATATGATAAGGATTATCATTTTGTAGCCTTAATGAATCATCTGAATCAATTAATCAAGAAAATTTTTTGGAACCTTTTCATTCCTTTGCAAATCATAATGAATAATTGAAAAAGTTTGTCACCCTCAAAAAAGATATTGACGATTGGTTCCGCCCCTGCTTATGGTTAACACCTATGTCTAACTTCTTGTAAGGGCAGTTAGAATAGCATGTTATCATCGAGTTTGTCTTCATCATATTTGATGAAACTTTAGTAATAATGGATAAATAATCATTTATTTTATTTTTTTATATTTATTCTCATTTTTTATGTTAATTAAAAGGAACATAAGATACAAGTATTGATCTCAGGACTGTTGAATTCATTAGGAAATGATTTTAATGTTTTTAATTATTTATTTTTCAATCCTATATTCTATAATGTCATCTCTATTGGCGAAAACCTTTTTATTTCAATTTGAAATGATTCTATCTTGGATCTATTTTGAACTGAAAATTCCATGGAGTTATCTCACATGTATCTATGACTTCCTCCTCTATTTTGGCAGTTATATTCAGAAATAATGGAACACTCATAACAACTGATATTATGATTATAGTATATATAGAAATATATGTTGAGAAAATAAACTAATTTTTTTGTACTCCAACTCTTTGATTCAGTGAATTTTTTCTTTACAATTTGGTTCAATGATTGATGCTGGAAATGATTAAGTATTGTTTGGCATGGTGGTGTTCTTCTACATGTATTAAGGGAAATTTTTTCAATACGATCTACCATTCCCTTAAACTTTAGGAAATATAATTTCCTGACTAGAAATCATTTTCCTTTTATTTGGAGTATGTTTAAGGAAGCTTCTTGATTAGTAACATTGCTTAATTTTACATAACCACACCAAATTGTGTGGTACTTCCTTCTTGAAGTGAGTTTAGTTGTTTCACGTGGTTCTTTCGAAAGTAACATTTTGATAGGTGAGAAGTGAACCCTTTCTTAGATGATCCAAAGTAAATTACTAGGCATATGTGAAACGAAATTTTGAATTTTTTATTTTTATTTTGTAATTTTAATGTTATGATTTAGGCTAGTTAATTTAATTTGAGCTAAAGTATTGTACACAAATACATTAAATGAAAATCAATTTTAAAGAAGGTTAAAAATTAGAAAATTAATTGTAAAATTAATTGAAATCTTATATCTAATTTCAATCCGCCATGACTGTAGAACAAAATAACAATGCCATTAGACACACGCGCGCGCGCCCGCACCCCCCCCCCCCCCCCCCCCC